TTCTTCTTCCTTCTCTTCTGTTTCTTTTCTTCTTCCTTTCTTTGGTTCCATCCTTCCTTCTCTCCTTCTTCCTTCCTTCCTTCCTTCCTTCCTTCCTTCCTTCCTTCCTTCCTTCCTTCCTTCCTTCCCTCCCTCCCTCCCTCCCTCCCTCTCTCTGTCTTTCTCTTTTTTGTTCCTTCTCTCCTTCCTTCCTTCCTTCTCTTTCTTTCCTTCCTTCCCTCTTTCACTTTTTTATTTCCTTCTCTCCTTCCTTCCTTCTCTCCCTTTCTTTCTTTCCTTCTCTCCTTCCGTCTTTCTCTCCTTCCTTCCCTCTTTTACCTTTTTATTTGCTTCTTTCCTTCTCTCCTTCCTTCCCTCTTTCACTTTTTATTTCCTTCTCTCCTTCCTTCTCTACCTTTCTTTCTTTCCTTCCTTCCCTCTTTCTCTCTTTCGTTCCTTCTCTCCTTCCTTTCCTCTTTCACTTTTTTATTTCCTTCTCTCCTTCCTTCCTTCTCTACCTTTTCTTCCTCCCTCCTCCCTCCCTCCCTCCTCCCTCCCTCCCTTCCCTTCCTTCTTCCTTCCTTCCCTCTTTTCTTTTTTTTTCCCTTCTCTCCTTCCTTCCTTCTCTACCTTTCCTTCCTTCCCTCCCTCCCTCATTCTCTTTTTTGTTCCTTCTCTCCTTCCTTCCCTCTTTTACTTTTTTATTTCCTTCTCTCCTTCCTTCCTTCTTCCTTCCTTCCTTCTTTCTTTCTCTCTTTCGTTCCTTCTCTCCTTCCTTTCCTCTTTCACTTTTTTATTTCCTTCTCCTTCCTTCCTTCTCTACCTTTCCTCCCTTCTTTCCTTCCCTTCCTTCCTTCCTTCCTTCCTTCCTTCCTTCCTTCCTTCCTTCCTTCCTTCCCTCCTCCTTCCTTCCTTCCTTCCTTCCTCTTTTCTTCCTTCTCTCCTTCCTTCTCTCCTCCCTTTCCTCTTTCACTTTTTCATTTCCTTCTCTCCTTCCTTCCTTCTCTACCTTTCTTTCTTTCCTTCTCTCCTTCCCTCCTTCTTTCCCTCTTTCTCTCTCTCCTTCCTTCCCCCTTTCTGTGCATGTTTTGTGTGTGCATATATGTGGTTTTGTGCATGTGTTGTAATGTAATTTTTTTGTTTTTTGTTTTCTTAAGTCCCTTCTGTTGAGTTTTTCAGTGTTTTTATGAGTGATGGTCACTCGTTGGCCCGATCAGTGTATTGTGTCCAAATTTGGTGTCAATTCGCCCAGCGGTTTTTGAGTTCTGTTAATCCCACAAACAAACATTACATTTTTATTTATATAGACAAGCTTGAGAAGCACTGCTCCATAGCTATAGCCATTACACCTCTCGACATAAAACAGGTAGTGGATGTGGTTGGGTAGCAAAATATTATGGGGCAACCATTACCATGGCATTCCCACCCAAAACTGCCACAGAGACAATAGAGCAGCTATTTCCTTCTTTGCCAACCAAGCTCACAGCATCATTGGCTGAAACACATTGAGTTTCCTGCTCTGAATAAATCAGCTAGCCGGGTGATGAAGATGAAAGAGTGATAAATAATTGCTACCCAGAGACGAATCTCTCTCCTCCTCCTCTTCCTCGCCATCCCCTTAACCCCACTGACCAGTCCCAAGGCCAGCTTTAATCCCAACAGCGTAACAGAACAGGACATGGGAAGGACGCGAGACAGAGGAGTCAATGTATTCAGCTTTGTCAGTTTGCCTTCTGAAAAACAGAATATGAAAAGCAAGAAAAGAAGCCCGTCTGTTTGAAAGGAGTCATTGCTAGCCAGGCGGCATCAATAAAGCCGGGAGTTGTCTTAGATATGAGGACATATTCTAATGGAGAGGCTTCTCTCAATAGCTTCTCCCATGTATGGGCTTTCTTTTCCTGAGGACTGCAATGCTTGTCTGCTCCAGACAAAATCCCTCTTGGCACAAGAGCAAGGAGGACTTGAAACCACCAATTACAAGTAACTAAGTTATCTTTAATACATTTTTTTTTGTAATGAGGGTTTTCTAAGTCATAGGTTTGCCTTAGAGCAATGGTTCCAAACCTATGGTCTGTAGACCACCAGTGGTCCGCAAGAAAGAAAATATGGTCCGTGGCCTCACCATTACTACACCGTTGCCTACAAACCATGTGGCAACAAGATTGAGTGGTCTCACGAAACCCTCTTATAGTGCCAAGGCAATGGGGATGTTGGGAGGGGAGAGCTTGACTACCCACAAAAGATTCCTACCACCACATCAGCTCTAGATTATTAAATATGGTTTTCTGTGGGCGAGAAGATGGTGATTGCGATATAGCCCGGAAAAACCTACAACAACCCATGGATTCCGGCCATGAAAGCCTTCGACAATACAAGATGATGATTACTGGATCGCCTGTGCTCTGTATCAGAAACTAGAGCTGATGTGGTCTATCCAATGCAATTTTCTGAATCAGCACCCCAAATAACCAAACCCAATCTAAAGTTGACCAAAAACACATTTGTAACTTTTTTGCTTGGAGAGTGGTCCCCGGTCATAGTGGTCCATGGTCTAATGATCCCTTGTCAAAAAAAGGTTGGGAACCACTGCCTTAGAGAGAGGGGGGGCCTAACCCAAGCCCACACAAGAGGTTTTCATGGCCGAGTAGGGATTCAAACCAAGGGCTCTCAGAGTCACCACGTACATTCAAATTGTGACAGTACTCAGGCTCTTTTTGGATTTTCTTGGCTAGATTTCTTCAGAGGAGGTATCCACTCTAGGACCTACCTCTTCTAGGCAGGTCCTTCAACGCAACTCTATGACAATTTTGGAGGGTAGTATACCGGAAAATTGCATGAAGGACCTACCAAATTCTGAGAGAGACAATTTATTCCCAGGTTAAGGTAAGGGATACCTCAGTCTTCCGGCATTCCCTCCCTTCCATCCTTTCTTCCTTCCTTCTCTCCTTCCATCTATCCCTCCCTCCCTCCCTCCCTCCCTCCCTCCCTCCCTCCCTCCCTCCCTCCCTCCCTCCTTCCTTCCTTCCTTCCTTCCTTCCTTCCTTCCTTCCTTCCTTCCTTCCTTCTCTCTTCCTTCCTTCCCTCCTTCCTCTCTCCTTCCTTCTCTCCTTTCCTCTTTCTCTTCCTTCTTCTCTCTTCTTTCCCTCCTTCCTCTCTTCTTCCTCCTTCCTTCCTCCTCCCTCCTTCCTTCTCCTCTTCCTTCCTTCCCTCTTTCCTCCTCTCCTCCTTCCTTCTCTTTCCTTCCTTCCCTCCTTCCTTCCTTCCTTCCTTCCTTCCTTCCTTCCTTCTCTCATCATTTCCTTCCCTCTTTCCTTCCTCCTCTCCTCTCCTTCCTTCCTGCCTTCCTTCTCTCCTTCCTTCCTTCCTTCCTTCCTTCCTTCCTTCCTTCCTTCCTTCCTTCTCTACCTTTCTTTCTTTCCCTCCTTCTCTTCTTTCCCTCTTTCTCTCCTCCTTCTCTCTCCTTTCCTTTCCCCTTCCTTCCTCCTCTCCTTCCTTCCTCTGCCTTCCTTCTCTCCTTCCTCTTTCCCTCTTTCCCCTTCCCTCTTCCCTCTCTTCCTTCCTTCCTTCCTTCCTCCTTCCTTCCTTCCTTCCTTCCTTCCTTCCTTCCCTCCTTCCTTCCTTCCTTCCTTTCTTTCCTTCTCTCCTTCCCCTCCTTCTTCCTTCTTTCCCTCTTTCTTCCCTCCTTCTCTTCCTTTCCCTTCCTTCCTCCTCTCCTTCCTTCCTGCCTGCCTGCCTTCCTTCCTCCTTCCCTCTTCTTCTTTCTTTCCCTCCCTCCCTCCTCCCTTCCTTCTCTGCCTTTCTTTTCTTCTCTCCTTCCCTCCTTCTTTCCCTTCTTTCCCTCTTTCTCTCCCTCCTTTTCTCCTTCCTTCCTTCCTTCCATCCATAAAATCCTTCTGCACAATGTTGTAGCATCATGGAGATGACCCTAGGCTCCTAGAGACTACACCAGTGGAAAGCAAGCTCTGGAAGCTTCTACCTGATGAGAAAAGTTTCAAATGTTGCTCCTGTGGTTGAATGTTGGTCCTCCGTCAGATGGAGACACTCCATCACTATCAGTAGAAAGGTTGCTGTTTGGGAATGACTATCCCACAGTATGGAGCCCCCGGTGGAGCAGCAGGTTAAACCACTGAGCTGCTGAATTTGCTGACCAAAAGGTCGGCAGTTCGAATCTGGAGAGGGGAGTGAGTTCCCACTGTTAGCCTCAGCTTCTGCCAACCTAGAAGTTTGAAAACATGCAAACGTGGGTGATATTGAGCTAGAATTTGGAGGCTCCCACCCAGAAGCGGACATGCTCCGAGACCCAAGTAGCACCTAGCTATTATCATGCAGTAAGTCTTTGTTGGAAACCTTAAATCAAAAGGGATTTGCCTCAGGAAATGAACTTCTCAAGGCTTGTGTCTTGCTGGGGTCATGAAAGGGTGGCTTCCCTTATTTTATATACAAACACACACATAGGGGATTTATAAGGCATGCCCTGGGGAGAAATGGAGGGAAAAGGAAATTCATATAGACACATTCCACCCACCAAAGTCCATAGAGAGTCCAATATTATGAAATCATATAGTCATGGGTAGATCAATAGGTACCGCTCCGGGGAGCAGCATGAGTGTCCGCTGTCAGCCTCAGCTTCTGCCAACCTAGCAAATGTGAGTAGATCAATAGGTACCGCTCCAGCAGGAAGGTAACGGCGCACCATGCAGTTATGCTGGCCACATGACCTTGGAGGTGTCTATGGACAATGCCGGCTCTTCGCCTTAGAAATGGAGATGAGCACCACCCCCCAGAGTCGGACACAGCTAGACTTAAAGTCAAGGGGAAACCTTTACGTTTTTATGCCACAGTATTACAGTTTAAATACACGGGGGATAATCAATGACAACATCAACATTCAGAGGTCTTTTTCCTATCGATCTATATATTAAGAGGGTGTGAAAGAGAGCTGTGGTCTTTATTAAGTTATGGTGTCCCACTGTGAAAAGTTACGGGATTCTTTTGCGGAAACTGGGAAGAAGGAAAGGGACTTATTGGGGTGGGCGGAGGAGCTCTGCCTGTCCCGATGGCAGGTAGGTGACATTGCGGGACCGTGAGAGTTGGAACGCAATGTCTTCAGCGGCTTCCAGTTTCCGCAATTCGATGAGACCCTCTCCCGCCATCGCCAGGGCCTCAGCGATGAGCTCTGCTGCCTTCGAGTCTCCTTCGGCGGTGATGATGTTGGCTTTCTTCTGCTGCTCCGCCTTTTCCACCTCGAACCGGGCCCGCTCAGCTTCTTGCTGGGCCACTTGCTTCAGCTCCACGGCCTCCAGGAACTCCTTCCCAAAGGTCAGGTGGGTCAATGAAACGTCATCCAGGATGATGCCGAATGTCGTGGCTCTTTCCACAAGGTCATCGCTCACTTGCCTCGAGACCAGCTCCCTCTGGGTGATCAACTCCCCAGCATCGAAACGGGCCACAACAGACTTGAGGGTCTCCGTCGCAATGGAAGGCAACACTCGCTCGTCGTAGTCCTCTCCAAGGGTTGTGTAAATCTGGGGGAGCCGTAATATGGCTGGTCTGAACAACAAGCGGAGTGTGACGTCCACGTTCTGGAGGTCTTTGCTTCCGGTGGTTACGGGGATGTTGCGTGGGCGAGAGCGGCAATCAAACACAATGGGTTTCTGCACCCAAGGGATGAGGAAATGGGTGCCTTCTCCCACCACCACGTCCTGGATGCCCCGGAATCGATCAAAGATTACCGCTCTGTGGCCTGCGTCCACATTATAAAGGGCCCAGTTGACCACTCCGCCGGCCACCACCAGGCCCAAGCCAAACCTGCCCATGAACTCAAAGATCTTGGCGGCCATTGGACTCAAACTTCAGTAGAGTTTCCTAATTTCAAAGGAAGCCATGCCAGGAAGGTTAGACTCGATCCCCGCGTAAACAAAAAAGAAAGAAAAAGAATGGGAAAAATCCCAGATATGACTTGGAAGACTTGGTAATGCTGTGAGGTCTGAGGTTATGACATCACCAAACTGCATCTTGTGACATCACCAGACACTGGGCCTTTGGTCAGCTTGTCTCTAGGTGACTTTGTCCACTTCTCTTTGAAAGACATCTTTGAAATCAAGTTAACAAACTTTGGTGCTGAGAATCATAAAGCCTAGTTGTCATATTTGTGGAACTAATATCCACTGGCTTGTTTGTTTACTTAGGAATCCCTATATAACCTGCACCATTCCTTGCATCTCCTTACTTACTTCGGCGATCCCTTGTTCATTTACATTTTATTTATTTACTAGCTGTATCCGCCACGCATTGCTGTGGCCAACCTTCCCTCCCTCTTTATTTCCTTCTTTCTTTCTCTCCTTCCTTCCCTCCCTCTTTTTCTTTCCCTTCTTTCTTCCTTTTCTACCTGTTTCTTTTCTCGCTTCCTTTGCTCTTTGGTTTGATCCTTCCTTGTCTCTTTCCTTCCTTCCCTCCCTCTTTCTTTCGTTCCTTCTCTCCTTCCCTCTTTCACTTTTTTATTTCCTTCTCTCCTTCATTCCTTCTCTACCTTTCTTTCCTTCTCTCCTTCCCTCCTTGTTTCCCTTCTTCTTTCTCTCTTTCTCTCCCTCCTTCTCTCCTTCCTTCCTTCCTTCCTTCCTTCCTTCCTTCCTTCCTTCCTTCTCTACCCTTCTTTCTTTCATTCCTTCCCTCCCTCCCCTCCCTCCTTCCCTCCCTCCTTCTCTCCTTCCTTCCTTCTCTACCTTTCTTTCCTTCTCTCCTTCCCTCCTTCTTTCCCTTCTTCTTCCCCTCTTTCTCTCCCTCCTGCTCTCCTTCCTTCTCTACCCTTCTTTCTTTCCTTCCTTCTCTCCCTCCCTCCTTCTCCCCCTCTTTCTCTCCCTCCTTCTATCCTTCCTTCCTTCCTTCCTTCCTTCCTTCCTTCCTTTCTTCCTTCCTGTTCTTTCTTTCCTTCTCCCCTCCTCTCCTTCCTTCCTTCCTTCCTTCCTTCCTTCCTTCCTTCCTTCTCTACCCTTCTTTCTTTCCTTACTTCTCTCCCTCCCTCCTTCTCCCACTCTTTCCCTCCCACATTCTCGCCTTCCTTCCTTCCTTCCTTCCTTCCTTCCTTCCTTCCTTCCTTCCTTCCTTCCTTCCTTCCTTCCTTCCTTCCTTCCTTTTCTACCCTTCTTTCTTTCCTTCCTTCTCTCCCTCCCTCCTTCTCCCCCTCTTTTCCCTCCCTCCTTCCTTCTCTACCCTTCTTTCTTTCCTTCTTTCTCTCCCTCCCTCCTTTTCCCCTCCTTCTCCCACTCCTTCTCTCCTTCTCTCCTTCCTTCCTTCCATCCTTCCTTCCTTCCTCCCCCCTTTCTGTGTATGTGTTTTTGTGTGTATATGCATATATGTGTGCATATATGTATGTATATATATATATATAAGGTTTTGTGAATGCATTGCCATTTTTTGCTTTTTTGCTTTTTACGTTCCTTCTGCTGTGTTTTTCAGTGTTTTTATGAGTGATGGTCACTCATTGGCCTGATAGGTGTCTTGTGTCCGAATTTGGTGTCAATACGTCCAGTGGTTTTTGAGTTATGTTAATCCCACAAACGGACATTACATTTTTATTTATATAGATCTACAGTATTTATATTCCACCTTTCTCACTCAGGGCGGATCACAATGCACACGTATATGGTAAACATTCAATGCCGTTTTCTAGGCATACAGATAGACAGACAGATAGAGGTATTTTTGGCATTTCCACTTCGGTGCCTGGAAGTTATGTTCGATTCCGGCCACAGGAGAGAGTTGTTGCTTCATCCACTATGATGCAGAGTCATTTGATCATATTTCCTCCTTGGACAGTAAACTAGGCTTAATAGTCGGGTGCTCAGGCTTTGAACCTGTCACCTTCCAGTTGGCAATGATCTATTGCAACTGGTGATTAACCAGCTGCGCTACAGCCTGGCTCAGTAAGATTAGGTATGATACAAGTATGATGGCATTCCAAGTGTAGTGTCTTGGCGGTGGATACGTAGGTGACTGTGGAGCCCTATTCTTGACCCGCATGTTCATCCACAGTGAGGACATTGGTTTCCAAGTGGAGGGCGGCCCTGGTCAGGGTTGGCTTTGCGCTCCTTCCTCTTGACACATTTCTCCCTTTCACCTTCCATTCGAGCCTCTTCAAATTCCGCAGCACTGCTGGTCACAGCTGACCTCCAGTTGGAGTGCTCAGGGGCCAGGGCTTTCCAATTCTCTCTCAATGTCTATGCCACAGTTTTTAAGGTTAGCTTTAAGCCCATCTTTCAATCTCTTTTCCTGTCCACCGACATTCTGTTTTCCGTTCTTGAGTTGGGAGTAGAGTAACTCCTTTGGGAGATGGTGACCTTTGGGCATTCAGACGACGTGACATTCTATCCAGCAGAGTTGATGGCGTAGGAGCATCACTTCAGTGCTGGTGGTCTTTGTTTCTTCCAGCATACTGACATTTGTCGTCCTGTCTTCCCAAGAGATTTGCAGAATTTTTCAGAGGCAACGCTGATTTTTCAGAGGCCTATAACAGGTTTGGGAAGACAATCGTTTTATCAACAAGCATCTTGGTATCCCTGTGGATGTCCTGATCTTCAAACACTATTACTCACTGTTTCAGGAATATGTCCACTTCAAATATGGGGATCATCCTGTAATAATCCAAGTGCCTTACAGTAGACAAGGAACTATAACATTGGTTGCTTAGAGCTTAGGAAAGCTACTCTTTGAATTGCAGTTCCCAGAGTCCCCCACACAGCACATCCTGACTAAGAATTCTGAGAAGTGGAGATCAAAAATTTTTAAAAAACCAAAGGCGACTCTTACAAATCCTACACTTCGCTCTAAAAAAAACCTTAAAACTGCAGTTGATCAATTTGTTCGAAGCTGCCCAGGGCAGTATATTTAAACAGATCCCCCTTTTTTGGTTCTAACAACAACCTAGAACAGTGTTTCCCAACCTTCCTAATGCTGCGACCCCTTAATACAGTTTCTCATGTTGTGGGGTCCGACAACCATAACATTATTTTCGTTGCTAATTCATAACTGTATTTTTGCTAGTATAATGAATCGTAACATAAATATCTGATATGCAGGATATATTTTCATTCACTGGACTAAACTGGGCACAAATACCCCATACATCCAAATTTGAATACTGGTGTAGTTGGAGAGGATTGATTTTGTCATTTGGGAGTTGTAGTTGCTGGAATTTATAGTTCACCTACAATCAAAGAGCATTCTAAGCTCCACCAACGATGGAATTGAACCAAACTTGGCACACAGAGCTCCCCTGACCAACATAAAATACTGGGTTTGGTGGGCATTGAGCTTGAGTTTGGGAGTTGTAGTTCACCTACATCCAGAGAGCACTGTGGACTCAAACAGTGATAGATCTGGACCAAACTTGGCTTGAATGCTCAATATGCCCAAATGTGAATATTGGTGGAGTTTGGGGGAAATAGACCTTGACATTTGGGAGTTGTAGTTGCTGGGATTTATAGTTCACCTGGTGGTGCAGTGGGTTCAACCACTGAGCTGCTAAAGTTGTTGACCGAAAGGTTGCAGGTTCGAATCCGGGGAGCGGCGTGCGCTTCTGCTGTCAGCCCCAGCTTCTGCCAATCTAGCAGTTCGAAAACATGCAAATGTGGGTAGATCAATAGGTACTGCTCCAGTGGGAAGGTAACGGAGCACTATGCAGCCATGCTGGCCTCATGATCTTGGAGGTGTCTACGGACAACGCCGGCTCTTCGGCTTAGAAATGGAGATGATCACCAACCCCCAGAGTCAGACACGACTGGACTTAATGTCAGGGGAAAACCTTTACCTTTACTATAGTTCACCTATAATCAAAGAGCATTCTGAACCTCACCAACGATAGAACTGGACCAAACTGGGCCAAATAATAATAATAAACTTCCTCTACAGAAACCCCATGCCTTGAAGGAACTCGCTATTGCGAGTCTCCCTCTAGCCTCACACGCTCTCCCTCACCCGCCTATGTGCACCACCGCTGCCATGTGCCGAACACGCCTGCTCTCCCCTCCTCCATCTGGAGTCTCAGAAACAGCCCTCCCCTTGGCTGAGAGGCCAGTCAATCACAGCGGAGGAGGGCTTTTGGTGGGAGGATTCACCATCTGTTTCCAAAAAGGAAAAGAAGGACAGGCGGAGAGATCTTGGGCCTTCTCTGCCAAAGGGGTTCCTAAGACCATCAGAAATGCAGTGGAGTCTCACTCATTCAACCTTCGCTTATCCGACATTCCGTCTTATCTGACGCTCTTATCCAACGCCACCTTTTCCTCCAACATTTCCCCTTCAATTAAAAAAGTGCTGCTCAACTCTCTCTCCATTCCCAGTAAGTGAAAAGGGCAAGACAATGAGGAAGAGGAGGGAGAAAAGGGGGAAAAGAGGCAGGATTGGAAACGGAAGTGTCCTCCCTCCTTTCCTCTGTAATTTCCATGTTCTTCTTCCGAATCCGGGCACTTCCTGCTGGGCTGTTCTAGCCTTGAGATGTTGCCTTGCCTGAACCCTTTGAGTCCCTGTTAGTATTCTAGGTGTCTAATGCCACATCAGATGGGTAACAGTAGGAGACTCTGTATTATCTGACATTTTCCTTTATCCAACGTTCTGTTGGCCTGTTTATGTCAGATATGCGACACTCTACTGGAGTGTTTCTCAACCTTCCTAATGCTGCGACCCCTTAACACAGTTCCTCATGTTGTGCTGACCCCCAACCATAACATTATTTCTGTTGCTACTTCATAACTGTCATTTTGCTCTTGTTATGAATCGTAATATAAATATCTGATATGCATGATGTATTTTCATTCACCGGACCAAATACATGGTAAGCTCTAATTTG